CGGTCTCCACTTCAGCACCAAACTCGAGACGTCCAAAGCTGTTATCTGAACACTGTCGTTTTATGGAGCGAAGTCCTGTGCGGTCTTCGAAAAACATGCACGGAATCTCAACCACTTCGACCTTAGTTGTCTCCGACTGGTACTAAAGCTCAAGGTAGCAGCGCAGAATTCCGGACACAGAAGTCCTGGAACGAACTGGAACCCTCAGCATCAACGCGGTACTCAGTCAAATACAGCTACGATGGTGCGCCCAGATGGTGTGGGTGGACGTTGCGTGGCTACTCAAAAGACTTTTCTATAAGATGTTAACACGGGTGCTCGCCGACACGCAGGTAAGCCCGCTGCTCTACGGACACATTAAACAATTATCTGAAGCGATTACATATCATGCCGAAGACTTTGGAAGGTCTCGCGAGGGACGCACGGACCTGGGAATAGCAGCGAAGATTGGACCAGGTGTTTGGGAAGCCAAGCGGATCGCGTTTCCAGAACCAAAAAATAATCTCGCAAGTTTCAGGCGTCCCTGACCCCCAACGCCAAGCTCTAAACACTCCCAACTTTCCCTCGCTCTCAACGAACATCCCGAGCGTGAATTGGCCTGGTCGAACATCTCTGGACCCAATGTTTCAACAGCCCGTATAATCCAAACTTCTGCCTCTCCGACCGCACTTATTTCAGTTGCCACAGCGTCCAGTACGAAGATCGTCCACACAAATACGCAGCACCAACTTGGCCCGCCAGCGTCGTTCATTTCCATCTCCGTCATCTCTGTCACAACCTCCACGGCGACGACGACGACCACCACCACCACCACAGCCTCCACTCCCATCCCCGGTCAGAGTACTCCCGACGCCCCGCCAACGGCCACAATCGCCATATTACCCCCAGCATCATTGATGTGGAATTGGTCCTAAGCTGCCCTCATTGTGACCTCACATCTACGTCAAGCATTGGCCTGGTCGGTCACTTGCAAATGAATCGCACTGAGACCGACCCATCACTGTCCGAGATACCACATACAGTAGCACATCCGAACACTACATGGGTCTATTCGATCACATGCGTATCGACAACAACAGAATTTTCCTCAATATAAACACATCTTTCACATTAAATAACCCTCACATCCGCAGCCCACTTAACTCCCCATGCGCCAGCGCGCCCACCATTAGTAACTTGACAGCTACAACCGTTCCAACATCACCCAACCTATCATGCAAACACTGTTATTGCACGTTCATCTCAGACATCGGCTTGGTTTATCAGCTGCGAATCCATCTCACAGAGAGGTGACCGGATTACCACGCATTTCGTCCATCAACACATGTACCACACATCAACACCTCAGGCATTACGCACCACCGACACCTCTCATGTAAGTGGGAACTGTGCTGCTCGGCTCGTTTCTCCATGCGGCTTCTCTGCTCTCGGTGAGATCTGAGCCCTTTCCCTCGTGTGTGCGCGTTTAGGCGCTGTTCGTACGTGGGGCGCGCATTCGGGCTCTCCAGGTCTGTCAGTCGCTCTACCCTCTCCCAACATTAGGCATCTGACCGACTCAGATGGTGCACTTATGTCTGGGAGTGGGAGAGTGAGGTCGACAGTCTTAGTGCACATTCCTCACTACAAACAATCTAACTCACTTGGATCTATCACGGTGCGGTGGAAGCCGTGGCTTGAAAGGTTGTCAACTGAAAATATAACTCGTGTCTCGCAGTCAGCTTGGTGTGCGGGTCTGTGGAGCTACTGACCGGTGGACTGAGGGTCAGGCTCAGATGGCCCCTAAATGTGGCTTCTATGGCGCTCCAACTAAGTGAGATCCGAGCCGGTGTGGTGACATCCGCTAAGGTGCGGATTTTTGCTGTGCCAGCCGCCTGAGCCCTCTCCCGCCTCTGATCTTCTTGACTCTGTCAAGACACTGAGCCCATGTGCGGAGGATTAGTGATTGGGGAAGATGCCACGCAAGTCTACCATCGTTAAACTAATTCACGTGCAAGACTCCGTGTCTGCTCTTATGCTGATGTGGCGCACGTGGTGGACATCGTCGGCAACGAAGGTCGATCTGTCATTGGGGATCCTCAGCCGCTAAGTACGCTCATAGTGGTATTCTTGTCAGCTCCGCCTTGCCGAACTGCTTGATCGTTATGAGCAACTTACCGTACCCTAGAGGCATTTCGTCAACACTCCGCAAATGGGTGACCACTTTCAATGTCATATAGGTTATATGCCGGCAACGCATATCGGGCTGGTTCAGTGCTTGACTTTCGCATAATGCGCGATGCTGACGCCGGGAACGATAATGATTCTGATTAGAGTGCATATTTTGAGGACTCGCCTACTTGTGGTCGATAATCCACTAATGCGAGGAAGTAAATCGCTGGCGATCTGCGAACTCTTGTTACTTAAACGGCCCTTCCTCTGGCTGTTCCTCTCCGCTTTGCACGCATAATTGCAAACTTCATCCATTTCTGGGAAGCCTTCAGTTG